GGCTTCACACATATACACGAATAAACAAGTCTTGTGTACATTGATCAAACGGAAGGGTGCTAATTGAGATTGTTCACAAGCCAATATATTGGCAAATATCGCCGCGGGCGCTTATTAGAGCGGGGCCCTTATTACGTTACATACGGTATGTAAAATTACATTTGCACTTATACACACTATTCCCACTTAGTTCACAATGAATAATTAACAGTTGCTTACGCATATGACTTTCAGTCTTTGTTTTATTTACATTTCACAAAATCAATTCGAGATGAAGAGATGCACTCGTTGCCACCGCTGCCACAAACTGCGTAAAAAGTGATAAAATATACAGAGCTTCGGTCGGAAACAAGTACGAGATATAGTGTTTATTCCTAATACAGGATATGTATCATCTCCAAACACATTCGCGTGATAACCTCTGTGTCATATAATGTCATTCTTTAATTCTGTGCCTGAAAATCGCTTTCCCTCTCTCACAAACATTACCGAAACATTAATATTTATTACGTCACAGGGTAAGTGATCTGTCAGTCGGACCGGGACAGTAACCAATATAGTTCCAACTTAAATCTGTTTCTTATACAGTGGCGAAGCATCATATACGCAAAACAACAATTGTTTTTACTTGCACTTCGCGGTAATCCATCTGTCTGTCCGCAAGAGTAACTGCCCTGGTGACATTGCTGTTACGTTTTATTCGACAATAGCAGAAATATTTATATGTGCATCCTTGATATTGGGGTTGCATGTGAATAACAAGTGTGGAATTAAGTTTGGTTAAGGGAGGGGAGGGCGGGGGGTGTGGGGGGGGGGGGGGGGGGGGGAATACGTTGTTTAATGTGGGATTAGATGTGTTCGAGCCACGTTTAGTGATATATTGGAACGGCAGTTTTATTCTTCTCAAATTGAAAAAGGGATAATTTGCCTCCACATAAAAGTATGGGCGATGTTCTAAATGCTTCAAAACACAACCGAAGTACCTGTTGGTGTCAAAGTCTCGGATGTATGATTTACGAGCTGAACCGCAAATGAAGCAACTATAATAATCAAGTTTAGACCTGATCAAAGATCTATAGATATGCAGGAGCGTTTCTCCATCTCCACCCTTCTCAGCATTTTATACCACCTGAAGAATATCAAGTGCGTTCAAACATCTAGCCTTAAGATTATTAATATGAGGAAAAAAAGATATTTTATGATCAAATGTAATACCCCAAAACTATATTTCTTTGACCACTTTTATTGGAAAATTATTCAAAGTCAATTCTGGATCTGGATCAATTTCCCATTGTTGAAAACAATAGGTTTAGTTTTTAGTTCTGGAAAACATAAAACCATTGATGTATTTTATTGAGACAAAGTTGCAACTGTCTCTCATTCATTGAATTGTTAAAGAAGTGTCAACTTTGGGATATTTCTAAGTCCAGGGAGTCTGTAACCCTTCGTAGTGACTTTCTGGTGGCCGAATATCATCACAATTGTGACTTCGGGAGGAATTTTTCCGAGCTAGGGCTTCATCTCGGGTGTTTTTGTCTTGCCATATATTTTTCACCAAAGGGTTTGATGTTCTTCCCCAGAACGATAATATTGCCTGCTCTCTTCTTAGTTTCAATGAGAGTTCTCCTGTTTCTACTTAGAGTGCTTCTAGTCATGTACCTGTTGTTGCACATGTGGCTAGCATTAGGGCTTCGTACTGTATTCTGTCGAGGCGGCTCAAGAGAGTACTTGATGCTGAGTGAAAGGCCTCACAACCATTGTATATTTTTTATCTGATAAGTGATTTGTAGAGGTCCAATTGAGTGTCCCTCGAGGTTCCCCAAGTTGTGCCTGAAATTGCCCGTAATATGTTCAGGTCTTTTTGACATCTGTTTTCCACATATTCTATATGTTAGCGCCAAGTGAGGTGTTGATAAAGGATCACCCCTAGAAATATTGCGGATTTTTCGAATTTGATTGGTTTGCCTATAAAGGAGAGACGGGGTATCATAGCATCTCTCCCCCTGAATTTGAATAGAACTCCCACAGCTTTTTTTCACTTGAAAGGGTGAGCCCCCATTTATTCCACCATTGATCTACTCCGTCCAAAGCTGACTGGAGTTTGTTTTAGGATTTGTGAAATATTTCTGTGTTTTACCCATATTGCTCCGTCATCAGCGAATTTAGAAGTTACGTAGGAGAGTTGATGTGATCAAAAAGATTATTGATCATGATGTTAAACAGGGTTGGGCTTATAATGCTGCCTTGTGATGTAGATGTCAGTCAGGTTTTGTAAATAGAGGATTTACATAACGTGGGGCAAGCTCAGTGACACACGTGCAAGTACATACGTAAGATCCGGCAACGTTAATTGACATTTATAGATAGCGCTGGAGATTAAGGGTTCTGCACGGAGGGGGCTTATGACTAGAGGGGATACGCCGAATGTTTGATGAATATATTACGTTATTTTCCGTTTATATTAATGATTTGGTGTTAGACATGAATAAGTTAAACTGTGGCATACCTATTGAAAGTTCTGTGTTATCAGTTTTGTTGTATGCTGATGATATAGCCTTGTTAGCTGAAGACGAAGACTCGTTACAGAAAATGTTAAATGTTTTAAATATATGGTGTCAAAAATGGCGTTTGGATATTAATTCAGACAAAACCAAAATCATGCATTTCAGAAACAAATCTGTGGCTAGATCTGAGCGAGTATTTGTATGCGGCAAATCTATTATTGATTATGAAAGCTCTTACAAATATCTTGGTTTAACTTTTAATGAGCATTTAGATATGCACAAAACAGTCCAGGTACTGTGTAAATCGGCTAGCAGAGCTCTTTCTGCGTTGTATTCAAAGTTTAAACACGCGGGTGGCATGTCTTACGAAGTATTTAACAAGCTTTATAAAGCTCTTGTAGAACCTGTTCTATTTTATGGTGCTGGCCTTTGGGGTTTGAATAAGTATAAGGAAGTAGAAATAATTCAAAATAAGGCTTGTCGTTTGTTTCTAGGCGTAAGAAAAAATGCCCCAGTTATTGCTATGAGGGGGGACATGGGCTGGTGTTCTGTGAAAGTGTCACAGCACGTTGAATGCTTTAGATTATATTTTAGAATTCAGAATATGCAGGCCCATCATCTCCCTCTTATCATTCATAATTGGTCCAAAATCCGATCACAATCCTGGGATAAAAAAATCGTAAACATTTTAGCTCACTATAATTTGTCAAATTTACCTTATTGTGGATACAGCATTAAACAGTGTGTTGACCGTGTAAAGTGTTTCTTAACTGCTGAAGATTGTGATATGTGGTATACTGCGCTATGGAATGACAAGAATAATCCAAATGGCAATAAATTACGCACATACAGAATGTACAAATCATCACCTACTGCTGAGCCTTATTTATGTCATGTACGTTTTAGAGATAATCGAAGACTTTTAGCATCCTTTCGATGTGGTATTTTACCTTTACATGTTGAGACCGGCCGCTACGCCAAGCCACCTACCCCACTGTTGGATAGGACTTGTAAATATTGTCACGCCAATCCTACTAATGATCATGTAAATTATGTTGAAGATGAATGTCACTTTTTAATAGAATGTCCATTTTATGATGATTTAAGATACAACTTAGCTAAAGAAGCAACTTCTGTAGATAAAACATATCATTATATGAGTAGTTTAGAAAAGTTTATTTTTATTATGAACGAAGAATCGCTCCAATGTATTTTAGCCAAATCAATTTACAACATGGTTAAAAGAAGGCAATTTTCATTTTAAGCCAAGTATGTATGTATGACTTGTATGTATGTATGTATGTATGTATGTATGTATGTATGTATGTATGTATGTATGTATGTATGTATGTATGTATGTATGTATGTATGACGTGGTGTGTGGGCGGCGCAACGCGGTGGGGGGAGTTAAGGGGGAGCGCACTGTTTAACTAAGGACTTTCGAAGTCAGTTGCCCTGTATCCTGGCATACTGGTGCGCTCTTCACTGAAACCGCCCACGGCCGTGCTCCGCGCCTGCATCACGAGGTATGTATTTTTTATTCTGTTTCAACTGAATAGTTTTATGATTGATATGTTTTATAGTGTCTCGTAGGTCATATTTGGCCGGATGTTATATTTTACTGTTTTGTATATATCGTATTACGAAGTGTATATAACATGTGACACTTTAATAAACAATATTCTCTCTTCTCTTCTCTCTCTATTAAACAGACAATGATTATAGAATTTCGGTGCACTTGGAAACATATTGAACCAATGAACTAATTTAGATAAATCAATTTTTTAAATAAAAGTACTGAAAGGTTTTGCACTATTTTAAATGAAAGCATTGAAATGGTTTGCACTTTAACATTATCAACGTTAATTGTGTTGTCGCATTGTGCACTTTAACATTATCGACGTTAATTGTGTTGTCGCATTGATTACGACGTCTCGCCAAGTGTGTTGTTTCCCTAAGTGCACATATCAACTGTGGTAACACCACTGACAGCGATTTTATCACATTACTATATGCACGTGCATATGCATGTAGATTTGTACAAGAACAAGAGACACAATGCAAATAAAAAATATTTAGGGACAACATCATCGAAGGTAGGTCATATATATATGTGATTTAGATTCATTTAGTTAGCGGATATTGCCATGTCCTGCCATGCGTTGACGACGATGGACAATAAAACAATACAATAGATTTGCCAATTTTTTCCAACTTCTTTTCGGATTATTCTTATCAATCTCCGTTGATTATCCGCAATTGTACTACGGATAGCTGTAACAAACATTTACAACCAATCCGCGGATTATTCACAACCAATTATTCACAACTTCTCCTTGGAATAGTCGCAATTTTAGAGCAGAACTCGAAAACAAACTTATTGGTGTTGGTATTTTCCGGTGAACAAACAAATCTCTTGTCAAAAAAGGAATTGATTTACTTAAACTTCCCTGCTCAAATCTGGAAGCGTTCTCTGGAAATCTGAATTTCACTTACCACCAAAGACAAGTCCTGGGTATCTGATGTCACACTTGCCAGTTGATATTTGACAAAACATGTACGTTGACGAGAATTGTACACCGCCAGTCGACAGTCTTTAAGCTGCTTACACAAATTGTCACATTGGAATTTGTTTGAAACCTTTGCGGGATCTTGGTTCCATTTGTCCAAAAGGTTGCCTTCTTGATCCGCAGTGCTGAAATTCCATAACCAAAATAGAATAAAACCAGAAGCACCCAGGCCCCCGCGCAGAACCATCTTGCTCTGGTGCCAGCAGTACTCTACCAGGCAATCGTGTCGAGGAAATGGCGAAAGCTGTATTGATTTTTAGCAAAGATGCAAGATGAGCGAATCATAAAATATTTATAGTAGTTGAAGAATTAGTGTTAGTTTGAACGAGTATTAGTCGAATTTGAATTAGTTTCCAGTTTACCGTATTATGAAATCAAGGGGTACAATGAGTGAGTGAGTGAGTGAGTTGGGTTGAACGCCGCTTTTAACAGTATTTCAGTTATATCACGGCGTGTCAGCTTAATGTGGGAGGAAAGCCCGAAGTGATGCAGGTCTCAGACGTTTACCTATTCTGTGAAACCCACGAACACAGGTATGGTGCTGACAAACCTGGAAACATAATAGAACCGGGATTCGAACCCACCATCATAGGTTTCTGGCGTGCCCATGTGACGCAACTCTGAACAGCGAATCGCGGCGCCTTAGACGACTGGGCCACTCGTGCCCCCTCAAGGGGTACAATCAAGGAACATGTATATTGCCATCACCTGCAGTAACCTCCCGATTAACAGAATCTGTCTGAACACTGTTGTTAAGGAGCTGAGCTTTGATGTTCTTTTATTCGGGTTTGGAGGGGCCTAGATGTTTCTCCTGTGTAAGTTTGTCTACAATTGCACGGAATGTGGTACACTGTCCCTGATGGTTCTAGTTTGTGGCTGCATGGTGGTTTCCCTGTGGCGTTAATTGTGTTCTGAATCGTATGACTTCTTTTAAAAACTACATAAATGTTGGCCTGTTACTTTAATAGGAGAAACACCTAGGCCCATCCAAACCCGAATAAAAGAACGTCAAAGCTCAGTCTCCAAAGATGACTCTAAATCAGCTCTATCAGACCACATCCGTGACAACCCAAGCCACAGCATTCAGTGGGAGAAAGTCAAAGCCCTCACCACCAAGCTCAAAGACTTCAAAATCAGGAAACTACAAGAAGCCATCAACACAGCAAAAGACTCCAGCCATCAATCAACCGTGACCAAGGCTATTACATACCCCCGGCGTACCATCAACTCATCAAGGACACAAATCAGCCATAGAATCCCATTGTTAATATTACTGGTTTCATCCTCTGTTTATGTCACTGACGTCACCGATGATTGTCATCAGTACCCTTGTGTGTATATAACAGGCTTCTCTACTCCAGTATAACAATATCTATTCTACTGCATAAACATTGCCTCCTACTTGTATATATACTTGTCAACCTGACTACATACATAAAGCGCACGTTAAATCTCCTATATCAGTCTGTCCTATACCAGTCAGACTACATATATCACTTGCTTGATAACGGTGTTAGAACCTACACCGAAACGTCGCTCTTAATTGTAATAAAGAAGTTGTTCATCCAAAAATTCCTATCCTTACTTAGTACTCCAACTTCTAAATGCCTATCAAGAAGAAATGTTTGCCGTTGTCCGACCATATTAGGGAGCAAATCCACGTGGTCATAACAAGTGTTACCCACGAATTTAGGCAATAAAGCTAATAAATTTCCGACTACAAGCCAGAAGAATTAAGTATCTTGGGATACAGCATGCATGAAAGCACTCAACGTGCTTTGTGGTCGATAAATCGCACAATGCCAAAAACAACGTACGTCCTTAAAAGCGGACATCGATGTACAAGATCGATACATGTCTTGTCAGACAGGAATAGTTTTAAGATTTCTAATATTATCAACAATAGAAAAAACACTGTGTTAGATATGTATGGTTGATTTAGGAGAAGGAAACGCCGTTTTAATATTAGCTCTTGTCCATTTGAACCTGATCATATATAATCGTATATAAGGGAGAATCAATTAAGGATTGAAGGTGTATTTGTTTACGTTCATCAGCTGATGAAGACAGTGCCCAGCGTGAGCAAATTCCATGATGCGCGAAGCAAAGCGCTTCATGGTAAATTTGCTCACGTGAGGCACTGTCTTCATCAGCTGATGAACGTCAACAAATACAACTTCAATCCTTATGTTGACAGATACAAAAATCATGACAATACAATCCAGTAAACATCAAACTTTAATTATTGAAAGCGAACTATATCAACGCGGAGAGTCGTGACGTCGTGACGTCATCCGTCCTAAACATTCCATTTGAAGTGACATCCCTTGGTTTACAAACGGCAGAAAATGGCGGCTTTCATTCGCTTAAAATACAAGTTGCACACAGTAAAGTTAGCTTTGGAATTGGAACGAAATCCAGACCCGAACATGCTGAAAATGGATACATATTAACGTTCTGTGAACTTTTGGTGTGTGTTTGAGTCATACTACGGCTGATGATGACGGGGATTACAGCTTGAGGCGACGCGATTGGATTTACAGAGGCAGAGAGTTACCCGCCCTTGACCAGGTAGACAGTGGTTTTTGTCAGAGGCGCAAAATTGTTGATTTGTCCCTCAATATTAACATTGTAGTGCCGACATTAAGGGAAGAAACGCTATCCTGAAGTGTGGGGATTGATTTGGGAACATGGAGGTACAGAATTGGATGTTTCCGCATGCCCAGGAGCTGTCGACAGATCGAAGCTGTGAAGGAGTACACCGGTGAGACAAAATGGACGCCGGGTATTGCGCTCGGCTACAGGCTGTATGCAGTATTTACTGTTCTGACTTTGATACTTGTGGTAAGTCACAGCGTGACTAACAATATTGCAGTCTATAAACTCTTTCTAAATGACTTTAATAAAATTACACCAACAAATTATTTACTCTGCAAGATAGGCAATCCGGGAGTGCGCACGTGCGAATCGTCGGCCACGAGCGATGGACATGACGGAATGTTGTTGACGTTTGATCCGGTATGGAGACTGTGTATGACAGGCGACGTGGACCTCCACCCCGGACCTGATACACGAGGGAAAACTAGGGATCCGGTTGACCAATCGCTACCAGACATAAGTGTGAAGGAGTCTTTAAAGCACTGTCCAGTCAATTTGAGTTAGTGAGCTCTAATATCTTGACAATGAGTGAAACATTGACTACATTAAAGACCACAGTAGACCAAACCAACGCCAGTATAAACAGGAAGTTAGAGAGCATACACAGAGAGAACAGCGATCTGAAGATTCTTGTCACAACTCAGACCATCACCATTAGGGCTCTTGGAGATAAACTTGTTAGAAGTGAGAACTATTCAAGACGAAATAACTTGATCCTATTCGGAATGGACATGGAAGAGAAAGAAGAACAGAGCGAAACAAAGGTGAAGGTTTTTGAAGGAAGAACTTGATATGGAAAACTATGATGACATTCAGTTGGACACAACTCATAGGCTTGGCACAAAACGTAACCATGGGGACCCGCCACCAATCATCATTAAATTTTTTGCAAGAGATGACAAGGTCAGAGTGTTTTCTCAAGCAAGGGATAAACCCAAGCCCTCTTCCATCTTCCGAGTTTCAGAAGATTTTTCTAATAAAACTAGGGAAAGGAAGAAAAAGCTATGGCCACATCTCAAGAAAGCTAGGGACGAGGGGAAAACAGCTTTCTTAAAAACAGACTATCTATATATAAATGGTCACAAATTCTGTTTGGGTGACATTACAGGGGAGTTGATTCCAGTCACTGCAGCTAGAGACTATGGAAAGAACTGGGATGCCTCAGTTACGGGGCTCAGTGAGGGTGTGTTATAGCGAGGTGGCCGTGACCCAGGTGAGCAGAATCAACAAGTCACGGACTCCAGAAACACGTGCACCTCGGCCGACGAGATATGGACATCTCTATTGTGTTTGAATGTCAATTGCCTACACTCCAAGCTAAACACTGATGACTTTTATAGATATTTTATTAAACATAATGGATGAATGGATCGACTGTGTTTTTCTTGTCTCTAATGTTCTAACTATAATGGGTAAAAATTTAATACTTGGATGTGTTTATGTTAAACCTGAAAAACTAAACTGTAATGATGGTATTGAAAATGTGGAAAACTGGTTGTCAGTTCTAATGGATGCGGTGAGGTGAGGTGAAATTGGGTTTAATGTCGCGTCCAAGATTATTGCACCTATATTGCATGCACGTGTGTGTGTGGCTGCTTGTACTAGTCCGGACTGATGCCGATTTATAGTGCTAGCACACTGAGATAACATGCCGCAGTTTAACATGAATACCCCACTCAGACACAGTATACTGACTCCGAGCCGACCAGTCCTTGTTTTAGCCCCTTAATGCCGAGCGCCAGACAGGGTAACAACAAGTACCATCTTTTAACGTCTTTTGGTGTGACGCGGCCGGGGATCAAACCCCGGACCTTTCGCTCTCCGGGCGGACGCTCTACCTCTAGACCACGGAGGCGGGTTCTAATGATGAGTATCCAGGCAGCGAATATATTATCTGTGGAGACTTCCAACAGTCGTACTGGTACCGAGTTAGACTATATCAGTTTGGATAACGTTGATTATTTACCAATAGACGATGTAACTTATAAACAGTTTGATGCACCCACTAAGTATGCTAAACGCAAGAATAAAGATCTGGTAGTAAACAATTATGGCAGAGATTTCCTGGAAATGTTAAAAACCTTTGGCTTGTACGTACTAAATGGAAGATTCGCGGATGAAGGTGATTTCACATATGTTGGTGCTTAAGGTTACAGTACACCAGATTACATTTGCGTGTAAGCATATCTCTATGACCATGTGAATGATTTTAGTGTTGTATCACGAACTGAATCAGATCATCAACCGTTGTGTGCCACCTTTTCCTCTCTGTTTGACTGTAACCAGCGAGGGGCGGTCGGGTAGCCTAGTGGTTAAAGCGTTGGCTCGTCACGCAATAATGATGCGCATGCGTGAAGGTGAGAAGTCGCAGGTTTCAGCTGTCCTACAAAATTGTGAATATTGTCGAAAAGATGGCTCACTAATACAACTCTGCATCCAAATCTGCATCTAGATCACTATGGGTATAACGCTCGATGTTTGGCGAGCAAGGATCGGGTGTTTCATCCCTCCCCGTGGACATAGAAACGTCGACA